TCTCTCACCAGAATTCATCTTGCGTAGTTATAAATTTACCATTTGTCAATACATTGAATATTTCTCTTTATCTGGTGTGGTGCTCCTATTATATTGAGATTCTTGGCAAAATCCAAAGAAAGGTCTGTAATGGTATTGGTCCTGACCTGATATCTTGACTTCAGTGACCTTCCCACCACCATGATGTGTCATTTTATAAATATTTTCATGGCAATTGTTCTAATGAGCTCTCCTCCTTGGTACATCAACCACATGAGTTGAAGTGTACTACTAGATTGGCAACTAGGTCTCATCTTTTTACTGTTGAAGTAGATGTAACCATAAGTTCTATTCTAATAGTTTCTTTTTCTCACACTTGTTTGTATAATTCTCTTCCAGTTTCTTGCTGCCCTGCCAACTATGATCTTCAAAAATTTAAATGCAATATCAATTGCCATCTGTCTTCCTGAAATCTGTTCTTTTATTATCTTTCTCCCTCATTAAAGTCTTCTCATTCTTTTTTACTCTCATTAAACCCTTTGCCTCTTAATGGCATTATTGCCTTGGTTGGTGTGAAATGATTAAAAAAAACCCCAAAAAACAAACAAAACTGCTTTTAAGAAAGTCAGAAAATGAGATTTGAAAAAATTTAAAAGAGTAATAAGCAAGAACAGTGGATTAACCAGCAAGAAAACATTTGAAGAAAATTTGGTGTTGTGAATGTCAACAGAGAACTCATAATATTAAGAACAAACAGCACATTCAGGTAAACTTCACAAAGAGGCATGTAAATTGGAGGAAGAAGTACATGAAAACTGATTTCTCAAGTAATTTTTCGTGATGAATGTTGAACTACAATGTATGTCCTTCATGGAAACAGTCAACCAACGTAACAGTGGAAGTGAGGTAAAATTATAGGTTGTACAAAGTTGATATCAAAATCAATGCAAAGAGTTACTGAACAGAACTTTTTTTTTTCAGTGGTACAGATCAGAAACAAGAAGTTTTAAACTAAACGTATATTCATTTCAAGATAATGCTCTTTCAAATTCTGTAAAGCCAATTATTGTCTGCATTGCAAAAAAAGGTTTCAAAAAGACCATATTAATACTCTCCAAATATTAATCCTATAGAGAAATTACATTAAAAGAGATGTATGTGAGAATAGGAAACAATTTCAAACAAAGCAGAAACATTACTAAAAAATTAATGGATGAAAAATCTATAAAGATTATAGCATGTCAAGAAGCTTGTGTTAACATAAGATAAACTGTTTATAAATATATCCTGAAAATATTTACCAACACTGGTAGGTTAATATCAATTTTATTTTTTAAAACAATGACTTCCATAATAAAATCTGACAGTATAGGTAACCATCACAAGTTCTAGATAGTATTAAGATTACAACATAATTACAAATTACATACATTGATTTTTGAAGGCACATATGGAAGCATGTTTCAAGAAGAAGCAAAATACTTGCAAAAAGAAAATTATTTTTAAGTATCTCAATGTTTCATCATATATATCTAAAAAAAAAAAAAAAAAAAAATGGATTTCAAAGACAATCATCTGATTAAGTAACTAGTTTGTCTGATCTTAAGCCAAAAGAAAATTTATCGAGCATTTTAACTTGTTTTTGCTTTTTGTATTTCAATATTAGAGTCAGAGCATTTACAAAAGAAGGGTTTACTTTGGTGGAGCAGCAATTTACCAGCAAAGATGAACTTTGGAATGCTATTCTGTTTCATATGAAGAATTACAACAACCCACAAAACATTTAGGTCTTGGAGGATACATTTCACATTAACACTCATAACTTCATTACAATGAAACCTTTCTTTCAATTTTTCTTTTAAAAAATGTCTTTGTAAACTTTGTGCATCTTCTATAAATGTCAATTATACCAAAATATGATGTGAATATTTCTGTGAGCCCCTTAATTATCTTTACAAAATTTAGAAAAAAATTAAAAGTGGCACATAATCTAAGATGTGTGTGTGTGTGTATATATATATATATATATATATATATATATATATATATATATATATATATATTTTTAAAGAACTTCATTCACAGTTGTCCTTTGAGTCCAAAGAAGACTTGCAAGTGAATCCACATAAATTTTCAAAACAGACCTGTGTGGGAAGTATTTATAATAATAAAAAAAAAATCATTGTACTGGGGTTATCCTACTCCCTTGTCTTGGGAAGTCTTTATCCAATGGCATGAGAAATCATTACAACAGGAGATTTCTATGTTGGAGTAGATGACCAGGGCTGTTACATGTCATGTCCCTGTGATCTGATGCACTCCATGACACTTGCTGACACCACTTTCATGGCCGGTGGATATATAGGAGATTTCATCTGCTCACTTTGTTGGGAATCAATCTTCACATGCAAATAGGGCTAACAGACCCAAAATTAATAAGGATTTGGACTTGTTGACTATTTTCACCTGGTTTGCCTGCCAGTCAAAGTGGTTTACTGAAATGTAGCTGCCATTGCATGCAAACAGCTATTTGGTGAAAGTTAGGTATGGAGTGAAAACCAATGTCAAAATATTCCCAAAGGAGTATGATTGTTCCTCTGTCAGAGGTGCTATCCCTTCCAGACACTCGCAATATTTTTAACTGGATGTCAAAGCAAACAGATGATTGTCAAATGTACTAATTACTACTATATATAAATGATAGACCAAACAAATTGTTTTTCATATCTTGTAAGTAAAATAGATGTTAATACAATAAAATGTGAAATTAATGAGAACTTCTTCCAGCATTGACACTGTTCATGACAGCAAGTAACAAAACAGAAGCTAATTGATTGGTATATAAATATCTGTACTTTTCTGTAGCATCTTTCATCAAACAAAATAATTTCCAATTCTTTCACTTTCTTCACTTAAATTCAGGAATATCTAATTTTTCATCATTAATCTTAATTACTAAGATACATCAAAATTGCCCATTTGGTGTTCAGTCATTAGTCTAAGGAACATTTTCATAAGTTATTTTGAAACAAAACAAGATCAGCAAAGTTGTTGACAGATTCACCATTAATGAGACATTGTATAGATTAACTGTACTTTATAAGTAAAGAGGGCAACATTTGATGCAGTGTCAGAATGAGTGACAGGTTTTCTCAATATATATTCCAAAACAATGTATTTTCTTTTTATCTCATTCTACCTTTGAAAACCACACAAAATTCTTACACACATTGATCAGAATAAAATTCTCATCATAGAAACAAACATTACCTATAATAAATTTACTTTTTAAAAATTTCCTTCCAATCACAGAATCAACTTTAAAATGAGTTTGATTCTAATTAAAAGGATTATATCATGAACTCATTTGAGGCAAAGCTAGAAATGTTTAAATAACCAACAACAAAAATATAATATGTTAAGGAAAAAAAACTTATTAAAAATAGGATCAATATTTCAAGGAAAATTACTTATCATAATGTTCATTTTATTTTGCCTTATAGGTGTTAAAAAGTTCTTTGATCAACCAAGAAGGGATACAAAAAGTTCTGATGGACATTTGGTCAGATTTTGTGTAAAGTGGGTTAAATCCAAGAACTTTTCAGCACCCACTTCATATATACCAGACATTATTATTAAGCTTTATAAGTTTATATCATTGAATGAGTGAAGGAATATTGCTTAAAATTTTAAAAATAATCTCATCAATTACAGTGACAGACAAAAACATTTCCTTAAAAGAAAATATAATAAAGACATTTTATATTTAATAATCAATTTCTAAAGATTTATTTACAATTCACAGAGTGAAAGAATGGAAAAATTAATTTTACTTTTTTCCTAATCATAAAAGAGGATCCTGATGAAAAAGTATACTTTTTCATTATATAGTTTCAAATCACAAATATTCTTGGAAATATATTTACAGTTATTCTCTAACATAAAATTGATCTTTTTATTTAGACATTTAAAAATGTATGCCTATTGTAATAAGTCTTTCTGAGCCGAATCTGGGAGTGTATTGGGTAAATAAAATACATATAGTAGCCATGATTTTTTACACAAGAATGTATTCTTGTAGTGAGTGAGTGAGAGAAAAAAATATATTATAAAAGGAGTGTATTATTCTTATTACTTTAAATGTTATTTTTTAGAGGATCCTCATATTTTAGTTGATGCTCCATATCTTTTAAACAGTATATTTTTTATTTTCATCTACTGGCCTTTATATTCAAGAGATCTTATGAAAGAAAATATATAGGATTTGAACTTGCATCACACTTTGTAGAAAAAACTCATTAGTTTCAATGTGCTTTAGATCAACTTGTCCACAAAGGGTGTCACCAATCAAGCAAAGCTGAATAGTGCCTCATAAGCGGAAATCCTTCTCGTCATCCCTGATTCTTAAAAGTTCATATTGGCTCAGTTTCATATCCAAATGTAAACAAAGCAATTTTTAAAGGAATAATGGCAGGCAACAATTTTTATTTAACAAGATTTCTCGAATATTCAGACTGGGTGATAAAAATAAAAATACACTGTTTAAAATAAATGGAGTGTCTACTCATATATGGGTATCCACTAAAAATAATATTTAAAGTAAAGATATGTTTGATTAGTAAATTAAAAAATTCATTACTTCCTTTAGAAAAAGGAGTGTATACGTGTGTGTGTAGTTTTGAAGTATCTGACATTGGTATATTGTAGATGTTTGTACAAATCTATAATTGTATGTACTGTGTGCAACTCTGGTGGAGAATATCAAAAAGTCAAGATGTAGCTTATCCGCTAAGCACATCTAAAAAGAAACAAGGAATTCATTTCTTGAAGGACTGACTATATCATTAGAACGATATTTGTAATTCCTCATTATTATAGACGTCATGGAAGTCTTGTCAGCAAAACTTTAAAATGCCAGCATTAACAAAACTTTCCAGCTACAATTTCTGTTTTCCAGCCAATTTATTTCCAAGAGGATAAGTTCATGTGGCAGTGTGAAAGCATTAAGCTTCTGTGGAAAGTTACTTCCTCCAATACTGTAGAAAGAAAAAAAAAAAAAGTCAGGTTTGCTTTTTATTTCTTTTTAATAGATAGAAAATCAGTTTCAACAGTAGAATTATATTTAATTTTTTTTCTAGACATATTTTTAAAAAGTACTATCATACTATGTATTAAAGTCTTTAACATTAGACAAAATATTTGTATTAGAAAATAAATTTTAAAAATAAAAACTTAATAAGAATGAAAGTTAAATTAAGTTTTCTAAGATTTCATATTTTTCTACAAAAATAAAAAATCTCAATTTAACTTTTAGTACAATGACGCATCTTTCAAAATGTATTTTTTTTTATTAAATACCAATACAAGTTATATAAAACCAAGAACCACATTCCTGTTGACAAATAAAGAGTGAATTAGACTATCCTTTTGTTGTCAGTTAAAAATGATAATCTGTGTAAACTGTATTTGTTGTTGAATGGATAAATCAAACTAATCTGAATTGTAAATTTGAATTTGTAAATAAATTCATAAGTTAAAGAATATCTTAAAGAATAAGCTGGAATATGACAATCAAATACTTTTACATCTAATAAACATTTTCATTCTTACCTGAGCCATTTTGTGCAATTGTTCAACAAATGCAGCCATCATAGCTGAAACACTGACTTCAATTAAATTTTGCATGTAATGTACAGCTTCTTCATCGGTCAAATGAAGAACAAATTTGTCTTGAACCTGAAACACAAATATGATTCCAAAATGACAAGATGAAAAAACAAAGGAAATTAACACTTTCAATTCATACAAAATTTATGTAAAAACAATTACATATACATTGTTGCTTGTAATGCAGAAGCTTACATGTATTTATAGTGACATGACTACAGAATGAAGACACATACATACAATATTCTTGTATGCCTGTGGATTGGACTATATCAAGTGGATATAGGGAAGAAGAAGATATGGGCCACAGAGATGAAATGGTTTTGAAATTTATGAGGCATCTCATACAAAGATCAAATCATCAACAAAGAAGTAAAGAACAAAATCGGGTAAACTATTGAGTGGTATGAAGATCTCCAAACCACAGTGAACATACACAAACTAAAATGGTGTGGGTACATCTGGCAATAATCAGTCCTGTAAAGCAGTTTGTACAACAGAGAAGGGAAACAGAAAAAGAAAAGAAAAAATTGTAAAGCAATATCTCAGAATATCTTGAAAGGATCTCCAAACAGAGAAAGATGGAAGGAGTTGGTTATCAAGACATGGGTAGCATCTCTACAGTTGCAAGACTGAGCTCTTAATATGAATAGTGAATATGATTAAATATGATAAAATAGTCCTTTCTCTTTTTTTCATCTCTTATTATGCCTCCTTACACATGAACATATATCAGCAAGAAAAAATAGCTACCAACAGAAAAAGGAAACAATGCCAAAGACATTGAATATATGTATTATCCAACTGACCTCATAAAAACTAATATATTAAAAAGAAGTTAATGATAGCTGTTGATGACAGAAAATTCTAAATTGGTTTTCAAGGAATTCTCTGCAAATAAAAGTATTGTTTAGAACAGCAAAAATATTTTTAATAGTTTCCATTTGATCAAATTTAGAGAAATGTAAAGTAATACAAAAAAACTCACACTAAAACAAGAAAAACTTGCATTAGAAAATCTATGTAACATACCAAGTGATTTTGTTAGTATTTGTAACTATTTGCTGTACTAGAGTTATCTTACTTTCACTAGTGACAACAGACGGCAGTGTCTTTATGACACTGACAGACTAAACTAGTTTGAATATCATTTTTTATGACATAAATATAAAGATATCGATATTGTATATATTCAAGTAGATGTAAACAATACTTGAGTAGAAGACAAAAAAATGTAAAATCTATGCATACTGAGTAATCTTGTATGTTAGCCTTTAAATATGAAAAGAATATTAAGCATAAATACCTTTTTTACTGTTTTATCAGGTTCAAGAGCAATGTCTGGTATATTGGCATCCACCAATAAGGAGAAAAGATTAAGTATTAAATTGGCTGAGCTGAAAAGAAATTAGAATATTACAGAAAATTTAAATTCCCCCAAAGTTCATAAGTAATTTTTAATTGATTCTCACTATTTTTAATATACAATAACTTTCTGTTCTTTTAGGCCATTAAAGATTTGAAGGAAAAAAATAAATAAATGAACATTCTGATTATTCCGTTCCAAATAGATATTTGATAGCGGTAATGGGAATATGAATGTGTAGTTAGTGTAAGCATTTCAACACCAAAAGTGGAATCAAAATTCCAAATTGAAATTCTGGACAAGTCTGTAGCATTTATTTTTGCACTAATGCCCTTGGGAAAGGCAGGAATCTATCACTTCTTCCCACCAATTATGGGTTAAATAGCAGAGAAACTTGGATGGCAGCCAGTCTAGAAGAAAGAAAACTGATTTCACAACCATAGGGAAGGCAGCAGGAAAACACTCCACTATCTTCTCAAAGCCATCATGGAAATTCACATATAATAAAGGAAAGGAATTTGTGGAGGGAGAACCATGATTTCCTATGGATGAAAGGAACATAGCATTTAAAAAGATTGTGAATAAAAGGAAATAATTAAATCAAACAGAATTTTAAAGTCTCAACAGCAAATTTGCTTTATTGTATAACAAGATATGAACGGAAAGGAATCTTCAGATTTCATGATCAGTTTGTCTTTTGAATTCTAAAATGTTAATAGCAAAACTAATCAGAGATAATGGATAAAAGTAAACAGGATATAATATACAAGCTGTTGATTTAATTATATATTTTGTGACAAACAGTAGCATTAGAAATGTTTACCTTAAATCAGAAGAGAAATACCTACCGACGAAGATGTAAGAATGCAGTATAACAAAGGATCTTGAAGTCATTAAAGTGATCAGAATTGGTTCCACCCATTGCTTCAACCATTTCTTTGCTCAACTTCATTGGTGGTGGAAGAGGTTTAGGATCTCGGCCCAAAATGTAACCAAAATCAATATGAAAAAGGCGACCTAAAATGAAATGGAAAAAGTACATAGACAGATAGAGATTTTAGTTCACAAATAAAAACAACAAAATCCAATATTATTTTCTTCTCTGTTAAAAACATCCTCTTTGCAGCAATAATATTTATCGAAATGATAAAGTTCATTTTAGTTTTGTCCATTTTCCTAAATGCAAATAAATGATGTTTGAGTTCAGAGATACAAATATATTCTTAAAACATATATATTTTTTTAAAAAATCATCAACACTAACCTGTTTTTGTGAGCAAGAGATTATCTAGATGTCTGTCTCCAACACCCAGCAGGTAGGTCACTACACAATAACCAGCTTAAGAAGAAGAAAAAGAGAAATGTAAGCAATGTTCAAAATAAATTCTTTTTATGAAACAATAACAAATTTATAACTTTTATAGTTATTTATTTTTATATATGATTCACATTAATTAAAAACATAATTATTATTTAATAATCAGGATTTTTTTTATTAATGTGCATCCATATAAAAAGGTAAGCAAATGAAAATAATGTCTTCATATGTTTACCAATTTAAACTGAGTAGCCATGATGGTGTTTATCAAATGAAGTAAAAACATTTCTCTTTATTTGTTAATTCCAATATTACTTATTGTATTTTTTAATCATTTTACTCCAAAGCAAGACAATAAAGCCACTAAGGTGCAAGAGGTTACTAAGAGTGAGAGAATATCAGAAAAAGAGAGAGAACAATAAAAGAATAAGAATTAAGAAGACAGAAGATAATGGTTGACATTTCATTTAAATTTTTGAAGTTGACTGGAAAGTAAGAAGCCAGAAAAGAGTTTCACAAGTGAGAAGTGCAATAGAAGAAACTATTAGCATAGAACTTGAAGTTACATGTAAACATTTCAACTGTAAAATAATGAAACCTTGTCTAAACTATGAATTTAACCAAAGAGGAAAACTCACCAGAACAATTATCATGAAAATATTTATAGAAAAGGTACATGGAATCTATGTTACAGCAATAGGAAAATGACAGGAGCAAAGATGCAAGGTCAGGACCAATAACATTACAGATTATTCTTTGAATTTTATCAAGAATCTCTAAATACATAGCAGAAGCACCAGAACAGATGTGGTAGCAATATTCAAAGCAAGGATGAATGGTAGACTTATAAATGTGTAAGATAGATTCTTGCAAGAAAAGCTGTCTTATACAACTGTGAACAAATTTTCCTAGGAGTTGATTCAATATAATCTTTTGACTCCACATCAGTGGAAAACTTTAACTCAAGAAGTTGCAACGTCACTTTCCTGGAGGTTAGCATTAGCCATATTAATGGAGGGCAAAAAAGGTTCTCAGATGATTAAAAGAGAGCAGTTTCGTTTTAGAGGTGTTAACATTAACAAGCCATTTCTTGCCCCAGTTAACAACAGATAGGTCATTTTTGAGTTTTGTTTTGTATTTTTCTAAAAAAAACATCAAAAAGCTGCTTATTTGTGATATGAATTTTTATTCCTAATCTTAAAAGATCTTAAGGTTTAAACTTTATATAAAGAAATAGAGAAAATGTTGCTAAAACCAATAAAAAAAAAAGACTAAAACATTAAAACAATCTTTTTGCAATATAATAAAGTATAACCACTAATCCTACTAGTAATGATTTTAAATAGAAAAAAATAATACGACATCTGTCACATAATAATTATTTATTTTGTTTAAATTTGGTACAAGGTCAAAAATATGCAGCACCTGGTGAGGATGTAACTCACTAGTCATTAATAATAACTACATTGGTTACCTCAAAGTACTCTGTTCTACCATCCCACAATAATTGTAACATTAGTGTATGTAATGTGTATGCAAATGTAACAACTGTTATGGGACAGAAGGAGTAGCAATTTGTGTTGTGAATGATGACCGTCTTCTATTAGGTTTTACTTACCACAGCTTTTCACATAATTGTCCATCACTTCCTGTTGTATACCATAAGCAGCTCCTTCAGCTGGGGCATGCTTCCGAAAGTAGTTCTGAATACTTCCTTCAGCATCTAGGACTTCAGCTACAGGTACGGAATCAATATACTGGACAAAACCTGGATACAAAACACATTTAATTAGCGCTGGAAAACTACTTAGTAGTAGTATTAGCATTACATCAGTTTGACAAATGACTGATACAGTGAATTCTGTTTAAGTGAAACATTGTTGATAAAGAATAATTGTTTAGTAGCACCAGTTGTGCAAAATTCAATCAAACATGTCATATTTGTCCATTTAAAAGGGACAACTGCTTACAGGGTCCAAAATTCATGGTTACAAGATATTTTGCTTAATCTGAATCTACTGTATATGAATGTTGCCAAAGGTAGCTTTTCAATCACATAAAAGTAGATATCACTATGACATGAGATAGTGTGGACAGAAAATCAATGCTGCATGTTGACTATCAGTTCCCTGCTTCAATGTAATCTTCACACCAGGATTTAGCCTAAAGATCACATTAAATTACAACCAGGAAGTTCATTTCTTCTCTGACCCATGGAAATGAATCCCTTCAAAAATTATAAAGTAAGCAAAAAAAAAAAAAAAAAAAAATATTAACTGATAGTGGTAAAAGAACTTTCAATGAACAACTATTGTCTTGTCGCGTTTACGGGGCACATATTAAAATATGTGCCCCATATACTTTGACTTTCAAGTGTTGTTTTTTGAAACGTCTGTCATTGAGGAAATCTGTTAACATGTGCGTAAGGAGTCAATATTTGTTTTTTTTAAGCAAGGGTAATAAAAATGTATAGACATGTGTAAAGTAAAGACCACTGGAATTGAAAACCCATAAACTGAGAATTGGGGTGGGTAATAGTAGGGATTGTTCACCTAAAGTCAGTTTTTAGGCCTTAAGGTATTTTAGTCATAGAATTAATGACTTACATTAAAGTTTATTAAACTTTCAAATAAATTGTCAACTATAAATAACTACCATATTTATTAACAAATTGGTAAAATACGAAAGAAATTGTTGCATAAACTATCTATATTTGTGTCGTTGGACAACACATTTTTGAGAGAGAAAATGGTATAGCTCTCAAGAAATTAGTTTGTGAGTTTGTGGCTTTGAAAAAGCCAAAAAATGAAACCCCTCATGTTTAAAATAATTAAAAATATGTAATTCTTTTCTGGTATGCCAGTCAACTGTTATTGGAGTTTTGCAAATAAATTTCTTCTAAAGAATTTTTTCCCTAAATTTGTTTTTATCTAGTGAATATACCTAAAATTAAATATCAAAAATAATTAAAAGCTTTTAATTTCATTTTTAGAATTTCCAAATCTGTGAGTATCACTTGTTTTTTTTGAGATACACATTTTAAAACTGAAATTAAAAACTATTTGAATCATTTTAATATATAATCTTAAGAGTCTTCACTATATAAAACTATAAAGATATTTGCAAAAATAAAAATGAATTAATTTTCCTTGTTTAGAAGAATTTTATAGGCAGAACAGTAACAAACACCCACCGAACACTAGTGGCTAAAAAAGAATAATTTTTACATTGGGTTTAAAAAAATGACTTGCAGTTTTAAAAATATACACATTTTAAAACTGAGATTAAAACTTTATTTTTTAGTATCTAATTTTACATGTATTTGTTAGATTGAAACATAATTTTATTTGTAGCAAACAGACTCGCATATCTGGAAATATACACATCTTAAAAGTGAAATTAAGAACTAATTTGATTATTCTTAATATCTAATTTAAATGCATTCCCTAGACAAAAAATAAATTTACTTATAAAAAAAAACTTTATTTCATGACTGGCATACTGGTTTACGAGAAAACAATTTTACCCTTACAAAAAATCCGACTTCATAAAATTTAACATTAAGATGAAACTGGCAACTTTTTTTTTTTTTTTTTTTTTTTTTTTATTCGCTATTTTGTTGTTAACTTAATTTTACCACAAACAGTTTGTTTTTTGAAAACTGAAACAAATAGATTTCAGACATCATGTCGTATTTCCTTTTTTCTTTTTGAAAACATTCAATGATTTCCAAGTGTCATATCTGTTGTATTTCCTTTTCTTCCTTCTTCATTTCTTTTGTAAACAAATAGATTTAACATTTGAAATTTTGTAGAAAATATGTACTCTCTGACAGAAATTGAACCTGTAACCCTTATAGGAACCATCATAAAGCCTGATGTGCTGTTACCATTCAGCCACAGAGAAGCATCTGGTTAGCAAAATCTGAATTTGAATATTTTTAATGTGCAGAAAACCAAAACAAATGTCATACTAATATTACTGTTGTGTAGTCATCGAGTATATTAATTGTAGTTTAAAATAATCAACCTTATGTACAGTTAGATACAACTGAAGAAGTTCAGCCATTTATTTTAGCTTATTACAATATATTTAATTCAAGTACAGTAATTGCATTTTCTAGTTTCTGTCTTTCTCATTAAACTTAAATGTAGATAATTTAAATTTATATTCTTCAATAGATAATAAAAATATCAAGCCCTATTTCCTTACACAATTCCCTTGAATTCTTTGGATAAAAGTTGCATTTCTTATGTCATTACTATTACATTCTTCTCTTATCTTGCACTGGCACCAAGTATTTTCAATATGTAACTTTATGTAACAATGATTGTAGCATTTTCTCAGTCATCACAACTGCATATTAAAAAGAAACTTTATTTTTAGAATATAAATATAAATCCACATCAATTTTTTTTTTTAACATACGTGTGTTAGCACGTGCGATACCCTGTCTTCATCAGCCGCCGACCAGAGGTGATATCACAGTTTCGGTGGCTATGGCGGGACCGCCACCCCTGGCGCCACCAGCAGCATTTGCCACAAGGCAGGGTATGAAGATAAGCTAATTGATCGTTCCTTTAAGTAAATTCTATCTGTAATGAAAGTTTCCTGAATGCGTTTGCCGTTATGGACGCACTCGTAAAAATTGTTATAGACGACCATGCAAATATTTCAGAAGAGAATTGTACTATACTCATGTTTTAATCTGAAATTTTCAAATTTTGAAATGCTAATATACAAATAATTTTTTGATGAAATTGTAGAAAAAGAGATCATTGACATAAGAGCTGAAAAGATTTATAAATCTTACAAACTGATTTTAATGAAAAGAAAAAGCATCCATTTATAAAGGATAAGCAAAGGTCTGAAAAAGTATACCATTTTTGTTACTGGTAGCAAGAACTTTGTAAGGAGTCAGTTTTAAATCTAAATTTTCTCGTTTCAGCAACTGGAAAAGAACAAATAAAATTGTCAGAAATAAAGTTTGTTTAAATTTTAAAACTGATAAATATTAAAAAAAGATTTGGTTCTCTTCAATGATTTTACTATTCATTGCTGTTGATCAATATGAAAGAAATCATTTTTATGATATTGTGTAAGTAAATGTCTTATTTCACTTGTAGACAACACACAACTACATTTAATCTGGTACTTGTGTATCATTAATATCTGATAAGGGAAATTACAACAGAATTATATTCATCACATTTCATAGTTTTCATTAACATCACAAATTTTGTTTTTCTATTTTTCTATGTTCTACTTCATCAGGCCATTCTGTACATTTTACTGTACAACTTGTGTTACTGTTTTCACCTTACTATTTTATCTTTCTCAAGGAAAATTCTTATTGACTACTAAGATTTTAGTATATAAATTTTAGTTTAGACTTTTTCTTTTTTAATTGATTTCACCTCAAGCAAGGGAGTAAAGCCACTAAGGGTTACTGAGTGTGGAAGAATTAATAATGAGTGGGAAGAGAAAAGAGTAATAAGGAGGACAGTAGATTGCATTTAACTTTTTCTAGATTAAAGTTGGCTGGGAAACATGGAACAGGAAGGGAGTTCCACAAATGAGAATTGCAAGAAAATAAACTGTTAGCATAGAATTTACAGCTACATCTTAGCCAGCTCAACTGTATGTTGATAAGATCTTCATGCCAGTCAAGTACTGTGCTTAAAGTCAAAAAGTCTATGTACCATAGCAAAGAGCTCATCCAAACAATTACCATGAAAGTATTTATAGGAAAGACACAGAAAGGCAACTTTATGGCAGTGGGAAAGTGACTGAAGCAGAGATGACAGATCAGGACTGATAATATTGCTGATTCTTCTTTAAAAACAAATTTACCCAAACATTCAAGATAATTTCTGAATTTCTGGGATATGGATTTATCGATATTTACATTATTAACAATTTGACTAATGTTACCATAATGAGGACATTAATTATGGTTGGACTAATCCCATCATAATGAAAACATTTAGGGTTAGACTTATTAATATGAGGACATTGGTGCAACTGTAAATAATGTAAATATTTAAAATAAATAAGAAATAAAAAAAAAATACCATCAAATTCATTTATTCATATGGTATTTCATTATTCACTGGAGAGAACATTTCTTCACTGCAAATTTAGAACATTTATTGAGATTCCTTTAAATCTTTAGGGGACTAATTTAATGAAATACTAACATTTACATATAAATATGCAATATTACATAATGTATCAGAAATTATACATCTATTATTAAATTTACATGTTTAACTTAAGACAGATAATCTAAAATTGAAAGAAAATCTTACCTTATCCATAAGTGATATAATCTGAAGGATGAGCTGATCTTGTCTAGGATCATCCCCATGTTTAAAGATTGTCACATATTCACTCTCCTCACTGGTACGAAATGAGAGACGACATGGCATCAAGGCACTCTAAAATAAAAATAAAACAAGATTTTCATTATTATTATTATTATTATAGATTGGAGATTTTTTTAACATTCAAATTTAATAAAAGTTAAATGTATTAAAAACATGAATACCATCATTAGCAATGATGAAATCTCAATGTGATGATAAAACACAGATAATCCTGAATCTCTCTCTAATGTTGTCAGACTTTTAACATCAACTTAGAACTTTCTTCAAAATCTAATACTTTAAACATAATTTCTTTTAGTGAACTTTTGTCATCATTCTAAACAATTCAGAGATTCAAGTGAGAAAGATTCATCCTACACATTCATTTAGAATTGTTTTAAATGAAATGGCATCAAAATATAGTAAAAAGCCCATGAAATTGCAGAAATTCAATTTACTGTCTATTTATTGCTTAAATTCCTACTATAGAGTCAAAACTGAATGCCTTGGTGTTTAGTAATGGTCAATGCACTAGTCTCTTCCATCCTCTTGGCCTTGTGCCAAACTGTACTATGCTTAGAAAATAGCAAGAACTGGACATCATATTGTGGTGTAATGATCAATAAGTTGAACTTATTCACTCTTGATGACACTTGATACTAATCTTATAAATTACTTAAAAAACAAAAGAATGATAATAGACAAAATAGAGATGACAATAAAACAGGGAATGTTTATCAAATAAAACTGTAACCTGTTATGAACCCAGAAATAAGATGGATGTATTTTTGGATCTTCACAAAAGAACATCAAAATTAAACAGATCAACATAAATAATCAGAAATTATGTGACTCATTCTTGGTCACAAATTTGAAAAGAAACTGGACCATTTCAAAATTGTTCCTTCAAGAATAATTGGTATTCTTTTTCATCCTCTATGAGCAGAAGAGAAAAGTTTGTTGAAACAAATTTCATTTTCAAATCTTCCCTTTAACATTTACCGGCATGAACTCCAAAACAAATCAGTCACCTCAGAAATCTCACCAACTGTGAGGGAACATTTTACATTGATTGCAGTGTAAACTTTTTAAAAGATTTTCTTTTTAGCTTCTTTAAGATTGACCAGATTGTTTTCAAGTAATGTTTGAAAAGTGAATGCAACTGTGTTTTAATTTCAGCAACAATTTTTTTTCAAAAGAAAAAAAATTTATTCATCCTTTGTTCTATTTTAGAGTCATCACAAAGTTGCCAAGATTGCTTATAAACACCAGAAAAAAAATGTTACAAAAAACAAATCAATCCAGAATTATGGCAGAATTACTTGGGATATTTTGTAGGAAGTACAGCATTAATGATCAAATCTCATATTTAAGCCATTTAAAAAAAAAAAGCATTAATCTTAAAAATAATATTTTCTTTTTTATAGACAACCTCTGTTCCATGTTACTTTTACATATATATTTCATACACTAAATGTAACAACAACTATTATGGCGTAGAAGTAGAAATAAATTTTTAAGCAATCTTGTTTGCTATCAAAAGAAAAAAGTTTATGAACTTCAGTAAATATTCATCATTGTCAACAAGCAAGAAGTTGAAGTATCTCATTATCTCAATGAGTATAATACAATGTACTGCCATATATATAATATATATATATATATATATATACATACATATATACGCTACAGGGAGATACAATTAGACTTTTACAGAGATCAAAACTGAATTCACCAACCTTAAATAATGTGGCTCTCTCAGGTATGATTGCTCGAACTGTCACATCAGGGTCCAGGGGTAAGGGCAGAGGTTCAAAATCAGCAAAATTGAATTTGAATGCATCCAGAGGGTCTCTGAGCAGACTTTGTAACTTCTCAATCTTAAAAACAACACAAAGAAATTGATGTGTGATCTTTTTTATCATTATTTATAAAACAAAAACATAAAAAAATAAAGCAGAAAAACTCATAAGTAAAATATAACCTGCAGACCAAGAATATTTTAAAAGTAAAATTTTACTTTAAGTTTTTGAGGTATGTTGATAATGAGAGGTTAAAAATTATAATTCATCCAAATATTCTATAATTTTTGTTCACACTGTTTTCTCCCTTTTTTAATTTTTTTTTGGCTAAAACTCAAAATCATATTGTTCAATTTCTATAAGTACTGAATTTTACACATCATGTAGTAATATCAACTATTGCACAATTGCATTTGCGTCATCATCAAAAGACTCAACTCTAATCTAGAAAATAGATAATTCACAAAACTGCAAATATTTCTTCAATATCAAAATAAAAACTTGACTGAAGATGCTTAAAACTATTTTTTTTTTATAAATTAATGTTCTTTGTTTTTAAGTTTTTTGTAAAAATACTTAAAACTTATAATTGTGGTCCAAAAAGTTAAAAACCAGAAAAGAAAACAGTTTAAACAATATATTGTTTTTAGTACATACCTTCTTTTTCCGATTTCCACCTTCACGAGCCACCATTTTCACAAGGCTAACAAGACCTTCAATAAATACTGACTGCCGTGCCAACATAGAACGCCGTAGACGACATTCATTGCCACCCTTCAATAATAATTATTAATACGAAAGTTGATATGTTTATTTAATTTTTCAAAAAATGGCAGATAAATCAGATGTGAAATTCTATAATAATTAAATGTTTTTCAGAGTATATACATTTATAGAAAAATGTTAAGAAAATTAAATTCTTACAAAATGAAAATATTGTCTTGCAAAAATTAATAAATATGTATATAAATCAAATTATGAAAGTAGAAGCAAGAAAAAAGATAATTTCAATTCCATCATATCTACTTTGAAGAGTCATACAATCAACAATCCCTTCAGAATTGTCTGATAAAATAGCCACTCCTCTAGATCATATTGTATTAATGCGGATTGACCCCAAGGCTCTATTCTTGAACCCACTCTCTTCCTTATTTTCATCAATGACCTTCCTGATGGAATCAGTTTCCAACATGGTATTATGCTGATGACTGTTTTAGTTAGTTTGATAGGTTCAATAAAATCAAATAAGCAGCTGATCTTGAAAATTACCTATAATCTATTGTTAACTGGGGCAAGAAGTGGCATGTTAATTTTAATGCCTTTAAAATGAAACTGCTCTCTATTAATCAATTGGTAATTCTGTTGTTAGGATAGTCGGTTCATTATGTTGTGCTAGACAAGTTTTCTTGCCCATTTATAAATCTACCATTCATCAAATATTATTGCTACATCTGGTCTGGTGCTATTGCTTTGTGTGCAGAGATTCTTCCAAAGAAGAATTGGCATCTCAGTTTCAGTCACTTTGCCACCACCTCTGCCTCTTCTATAAATATTTTCATGGTAATTGCTCTGATGAGCTTTCCTCATTGCTATATTGACTTCATTTAAGTGAAGTACTAGATTGGCAGCTTGGTCTTATAATTTCCCTGTTTAAATTGTGAGTTGTAACTGTAAATTCTATGTTAATAGGTTCTTGCACTTCTTGTTGAACTCTTCCCATTTCAACTATGATCTTCAAAAAATTTAAATGTAACGTCAATCATAATCTTCTGTCTCCTTAAATACTGTTCTTTTACTGTCCTGTCTGTTTTTTTTTCACTCTCTGTAACCTCTTGCATCCCAGTGACTTTTATTGCCTTCCTTGGGATGAAATAATTTTAAAAAAAAAAAAAGAAGAAGAAATTCTATCAATTTTATTCACCAACATAATCCAGTATATAAAAAAAACAAAGCATAGATTAGACTATGTGTTGTATTTTACTATCTTTTATGATATATTAAATACATCATTTTCCTATGTATGACCACAAATCAAGGTTGCAATATATAACCAGGTATTGAACTCACACTCTTTGGGTCTTGTCACTGGATCTAACGCCTTTATCCACTGTGCCATGTGTCCTTGAGGACATCTGCGTATGAATTTCTGGGTATTATAAACCTAATGTCTTCAGCCACCATTTTTACCAGTTCTCATATTGCAAATTTTTGCTGTTATCATTGCATGTTATTACCAGAGCTCATATTACAATTTTTGTTGTTATTGCTTTTCTCTGGCACTCCTTATTACTGGTTCCCATAATGTATTCATTTCTATGCTTGGTCGGCTCAGGAGATTTTTGTGGCCTAGCATATGTGCTGATTCCTTAAGTTTATGAATTTTCCAGTGATGTTCTTTGTCTATGATCTCAATCTGATCTAACAGAGGGTGGTGATCTCCCTTTTCTCTCCATATGTGGTCAGCTACGCTTGATTTTTCTACTTCCCCTCATGTTACAGCTTTCTGGTGTTCTTGAACCCTTACCTTAAGCGGGCAGCCTGTCTCCCCTTCATATTTCTTTCTGCAGCTGCACGGGATAGCGTACACACAGTCTTTAGTCATGTTCTCCTCTATGAGGGTCTTACTCGAGAGAGAGATACCTGCGAAGTGTTGTCCAACTTTTGAAGATTGTCCTGATGCTATATGGACCGTAGATCCTTTGTATTTTGATAACCCCTTCACATAATGCAGGCAGACTGTTTTCTGGGTGTTGTTGTCCTCCTCCTCCTCCTCTTGTACCCGCCTATCCCAGTTTTGGGGGGCTGCTGCCATGTACCCAGGGTAGTTGTTACATTGTAGGGTATTACTTATACTGACCAATTCTTTATCTAACATCTCTGGGTCGCCACTTATGACTTTTACTCAGTGTTGTAACCAGCAGACGATCCCTTTCTTTACGCTATATGGATGGTGTGAGTTGAAATTGAGGTACTGTCCAGAGAATGTCAGTTTACAGTATACGGATGTCTTGAACCCATGCTCTGTTTGAGATATTAGAACATCCAGGAATGGGAGGGTGTTGTTACTCTCTTTCTCCATCGTGAACTGTATCAAAGGACTTATTGAGTTCACATGGTCCAGTATAACTAGAACATCTTCCTGGTCTGGCCAGAGTATGAAGGTGTCATCTACATACCTTAACCATAGAGTTGGCTTTAGAGATATGGATTCTAATGCCCTTTCCTCAAAGTATTCCATGTATATATTCGCCATTGCTGGTGATAATGGTGAGCCCATTGCTAAGACCTCATCCTATCGATATATGTGTGATCCCATTCTGAAGTGTGTTGTTTGTCTCCATCAGATTATCTATTGGAATATTGGTCCGTTCTTCTAGGGATGAGTCAGAGGCCAATCTGTCTCTGACTACTGAGAGTGCCTCCTCTGTGAGTACCTTGGTGAACAAACTCGTCACGTCCTATCCAAGCTCACCATCTGGTTGGATAGGATAGGAGCATCTTTGATTATTTTCATAAAGTGGGCAGAGTTTCGGACATATTTTCCTGTTGCTCATTAAAAGTCAGTGAATATACTTCTCTATTCACGATTTTCTCCAATGTCTAAACCAGAACAACCTACCTAAATAACCAAATTATGTTGTAGATCTTTAGAGCATTGTAAGCAGCAGTTTTTGAACATTCAACATTACAAGATATTGTCCCATATGGTCACTTAAGTTCGTGTACTTGCACTAGTTTCTGGTAACAAATTACAATTTTTATCCATTACAAATAGCTTTATCATAAATTATTTCCCTTTGAAGTTAATTTTGTGTCTTTAAACTAAATGATGATGTTTATGACAAATATTACTTAAGTGCGTTTACAAAGAAAGATTACATTAAAATATATTTGTTGTTTAAAATAAATGCCTTTTCTCATTGGTATATATGTACAGATTATATTCATTAAAGTATTAGGTAGATGTGTAAATTAAATTGTATGTCTTTTTATCATGTAGCAATCAAGGCAAAGGCTTGCTTTCTGCAGAAACAGACACTGTTGCTAGTGGAGAAACTAGAAATGCATTACTACATTTTAATTATTTCTGTTAAGGCATCAATCATTTAAAAAAAAAAAAACCTCTGGAAAACATGATACTTGAATATTTAACAAACAATAAATTTGGTTGAATTAATCTTTTGATGTGCATATTATAGAAATATTTGTTTATTAATTGAATACTACCTACAGGCTTTTAGTTTTGAAGTTACTTTCAAATTATTTTGCCTTTTTAAAGACAAGCATAAAAAGAAAAAGATAATTCATTTACCTTGATAAGAGCATGACTGAAGCGTTTCATTACATACAGATACATGCTGTTTTCTGTCTCACCTTCTTTGGCAGTTGATGCTTGATCGGAAACCTCCACAGATAAATACCTATAAATAGGATAGGAAAAAACATTCAAGCAAATTTAATTCATTTTCCTTAAATTTGTACAAGTAAATTTGCTGTATCTTTTTGAAACTCAACTTTTTTTTCTACTGAAACCATTTTGTATTGAATTCTTTATTAACATAGCTTTTTGTGTAACAAGATTTGTCTTAACCTTTTTAGTTTTTCAACTTATCAGTAAAAAAATAAATAAAAATCAAACTTGCCTTGATTATATTTAATGCAAAGTATCTAAATATTTTTGGTCATCATTTTCATAAAATTTATTGATCAATAAAAAAAATTACAATACAACTACTAAAAACATTTGAACAAATAATCAAATGCATTTGATTTTATTAATGTATGTTCACATCCTTAAATTACACTTATTAAATAAGATATTTTCTTTATTAAAATTATCCTTTATTAATTTTTGTGGTTAGTACAATATTTTTATATCACTATTATATTAGTTGAAAAATCACTAAAAGATGTTGTTCCAGAAACTGAATAAAGTAAATAGACGAGTGCAAAACTTACCAATAAAAGTAATTTGCTAATTTATTGTTATTACGAGCCCGAGATATAAGAAAAGTGGCCAGGTCCATCTGAAATTATTTATAAAAAACATTCATTAAATGCAATAGTAACATAGAGAGATAGAGGGAGTGTGATAAGTACATGTGTATACACAAATAAGAGAAATTTTTAAGTCAACTTTCATAAAATTCACCATATTTTTTTAAAAACAAATTAATGTGTGTAAATGGAAGTGTTCCTTCTACTTTCAACCTATCATGATAAATATCCCTCTACAATGGCTATGACATTTTCACAAAAAAATAGCAAAGATATATTAAACATAAAAAAGAAGTTAATTTCACATTTTATAAGTATATAAACTTTAAATTATTGTATATTCTGAAGTTGTGCTGAAAAATTATATAAATAACACATGTATTTGTAAAGAGCTTGGTGTGAGTAAAAAAAGAAAACTATCATCTAATTTTATAAAATACTATGATTTATATTACAATAAATCTAGTGGTAGAGTAAATTAATTTGTTCAAAGGGTAAAATTACAAAAAGAGAAATCAATTCTGTATTTCAGTTTTACAAGGATTTTTAAAGAATGCCTTATAAAACCATGGTACCAATAAATTATAATTAATAGCAAATAATCAAATATACACTTTTCAAAAATTAAAAATGCTAATAGATATCCATATTGAAATATATCAGAAAATTGCCTTTACTTTTTTTTTTTTCATCAAAAAAACAAAAGGTCTAAAATTAGAATCAATGGAAAAAAGTTTAAACATTTTTAAATAACAAAAGAAATAATGTTGGCACATTTCAACATTTATTATAATATGCTCCTCCCTGGTCTTTTGAACAGGATTAGAGGTTTATCGCTTCTTTCATGTTTAGGATTGGGATTCTGGTTCCTTCTAAAGTCATCTCATTCTCTTTCACTCCCAGTAGCTTCTTGTGTCTTAGTGGCCTTATTGCCTTGCTTTGCTTGGAGTGAAATGATTAAAAAAATCAAATGCTTCCAAACTTTTTAAGCTTAATTTTCCTTAAACACTGACCAAAACTGCAGACATTAACTATATTCCATTTATTCAAGACCAAAAATCCTTATAAATTATCTTAAGTTATAATAAAATAATTTCTACAAATAGTAAAATTCAAATATTGGTTTGAATTTTACATATTTATTTTCTCAATAAAGTATACATTACCTAATTGGTTTTAAGAATTTCAACACTCCCTACCTAACAATTTAGCTTTAAAGATTACAAAATAGGATCCTACATTGCACAATAATAACTAATAGCTGACATGTCCCTTTTCTTTATTTGTAAGCAATTATTAATAGATTTAAATGGTTGAATTTATAAAACTGATAACAGTAAAATCCCTACTTATTACATTTAATCTTTTTGTGCATCATGAAATTATTGGATTATTTTTTTAGACATATTACGGTTTGTTGATAAGCAAGGTCTTCCAGACTCTGATGAATTGGGAAGAAACATGTTTGAATTACATGTGTAGTACTCATGATGGATACTAAATACAATGAACAGGACTTTAGATATCAATCATAAATACTACATATGGGTAGTTAGATATTAAGCAGTGGTCAGATAGTTGAAGACACTAAAATCAAGCAAGTACAAAAATTTAAATATCTGTAAAAAGTTTTAAAAGAGGGTGAGAAAATGTGACACCAAAATCTGAAGATTCATTGGAATAAAGAAAGATGCCTTCGAAACACTAAACAAAATCTTGAGAAACAGAGAATTTTCATTAAAAGAAAAAAGAAAAGAAAGGAAAGTGTATTGAACTGTTATTTAATATTGGACCTCTTATATGACAATGAATACTGGACAATCTCCTCACAGATGAAGAAACTTATTGTAACAGAAATGTGGTTCTACAGAAGGATGCTGAGATTTCAATGGACTGAACATTTGAGCAACAACAAAGTTTTAGAGAAAATGAAAAGGACACTTGTACTTAGAATCAGAAAGAGACAGTTGAAGTTCTTAGGCACACATAAGGAAAGAGGGTTTGGAGAATTTGACACTCATAGGACAAATTGATGACAAGAGAGACAGAAAAAAGAAGCAAATAACCTACTTAACAAGTTTGTGTAAATGGTTGGCAAAATAGGGATTAGAGAAATAGTAAAAAGACAAACTTTACTAAGATATACAAAGGATAGGCAGTTGTGGACAACCATGATTGCCAACATCCTGAAAGGACATGGCACATAGAAAAAGATGACATAACTAAGAAATGTATTATTCATGTTTATGAGTAAGGAACTGCAAAAATTCTTCATAAATAATATATTTTCTTACTTCTTTTTCTAATCTGTTTTCAGGACTTTCATCTTGCCGTGAAGATGTACCACCAAGAGCATCCAAAAAGGAATCAATACTCTGAGACCTGAAAAAAACAGAACAAAAAATGTTTAAGAAAAATAGATCAATATTAGAAACTGAAAATATTAATATACTTTACTTTTAAAGCTAATTTTCTTTCTAATAACTAAGTAACAAAATTAGTACACTGGGCAAGATGAAATCTAAAAATTATAACAAACAAAGCAATGATAGCATAAAGCTAAGGCATCGATAATGTAGTCTATCTATTAAAGAGTATTTAGTTTTTTTTTTCTTTTAGGCTAATGAAGATGTGCAAGTTAGGTGAAAGTTTTTTTTTTTTTTAAAAGTGAGGTTCACGCTGTACAAGGCCCGAGAGCCACTCGAGATAGAGGGTTACAGAGTAAGATGCACAGTTTTTGTGGATATGTGGGGATGAAAACAGTTAACCCTAGACTTGAACAGGTTAAGATTGTAGTGATTGGGAAAACATACTCTTGGGAGTCAGTTCCACAGAGTAGTGGTTTAAGGGAATGGAATATGGAGAGAAATAGGGCGGTTTGCTACAATGCTACATAGCAGGCCCTAGCCATGACGGTAAGAGTTGGTAGAACTAAGGAATGTAGTTCGTCTGAGCACTTTCCATGGAAGTAGTGATAGAGCAGTAGGAAGCTTATGATGTTTTGTCTGCGAGAGAGGGTTTGCAGGGTGGAAAATAATTTGCCACCCACAAGGACAGAGAGATGGAAAGTGAGGACTGGGAAGCTCTTACCCAAATATGACAGCAGTATTCCATTTTAGACCTGATCTGGCTCTTGTAAAGGTAGAGGATAGCACAAGGAGTCAGGTACAGGGAACCAACCATTTTTTCTGCACATGAGTTCCACTGGGCTGAGCTGAGTTTGGGCCTCCCTGAGGGAACATCCATTCATCATGACCAGTGATAGTTCAGAGTTCAATTGGCGATGATGGAATATAACTAACTTGGTTTTTAAGACATTGAATGCAACCAGTCAGTTTTCCCACACTGAGATGTTAGCGCTAGATCGGATGAGAGGTCATCTGCCAATCTCTGGTCATCTAGTTTTGGAGGTGTACACATATATTGTTGTAACATCAGCATAGATATTCGCAAATGATTGGAGACCTAGGCAGATCATTTATGTAAAGTAAAAGGAGGATTGGTCTGGGAAGCAATTCCTGTGTTGATTGCTTAGGCTCTGGAAGATTGGCCATTAACAACTACTTTCAGAGACCTACACATTAGGAAGGACTTTATTATTAAGACGACTCTGCTAGTGATTCCATAGCTAGAGAGCTTGTGCAACAATCCTAATGCTATCATTGTTGAAATGTATTTGCTGTCTAGAGCCTTGGGCCAACCAAAGCCTGTACTGCTTCAAGAGGTTGATCCCATTTAGGTGATCAACAACCTTCCTTTTGATTATAGACACAAGAAGCTTGCTAATGACACTGAGGAGACTGATATGGTCTATATTAAGAGTGGGGATGAGTGTCCACATGCGTTCTTGAAAACTGGGCATATGCTTGACACCTTCACTGACTTTGAAATGATTTCTCCTTCAAGCAACGATTAAGTAATTTTGCTAAGATCTGTTACTTTTGTTTTTTTAATATTTATTAGTTTACTAGAAAATCAATCTTTTTAATTATTAACTGAAGACTTCTAGCAGCAATTTAGTGACTTACACTTAAAATTTGTGTGTGTGTGTGTGTGTGTATATATAGATATAAATAAACTGAAACTGTTAATTAAAACATTACTGAATCTAAGCAGTGAACAAAATATACATTTTCTGTCCATTGTTGATATGGTCATCACTCAAAATTATTTTATTCACTTGTTAACTGAAATGTCAATAAGTTGAAAAACTGTATTCTTAAGGAACCAATTTTGATTTGTATGCCTATAAATCTATTTACTCTCTAGAGAAACTCATTTTGGACACACCTTCAAATAAATAGTGTCCTCATTTTTTTTTTTTTATTTTAAATTATATTTACATATTAATAAAAGTATTGCAGCAGTTTTGCGTAGTTATCTAGATTAATACAAATCAATTTCAATAGAAATCAGGTATCCTACCTTTCCCTATCTGTTACAGTTCCTTCCATTACATTTGAAGATTCTGTCCGAGGGGGCGAAGTATCCAAACCTTTCTTGATCTCTTCATAGTCTTCATATTTAAGAGCTTGGACCAATTGCAAAAGATATAATAATAAATCCTAAAAGGGAAAATAATTATATATAAAAGTAAATAACACAGTAAAGTTGTTTTTATTTTTACATACATGTTAATACATATTTTTTTATATGCCCTGACTGATAATAAAGTCATATGATAGTAATATTGAATAAATTAAATAGTTCATTTTAAAAATCTTATTACTTGAATGTTGCAAAGTTACATTAATAAAAACAAAAGTTTGTCCATCTAAAAACTGTAATTTTCAAATAAAAACATTTATAAAAGTAAGACAAAAACAACTAATCAAACTGAAGTCTATGTGATTTGAATGAATTTAAAGTGATAAGTCATTTAGTCATAAGTTTTATAATTTTTAACACTGACAGAAATATGATTAGCAATAAAAAAATTAGTTTTCACAGGATAATTCTGATGTAACCATAATATTCATGACTAACATTGCTCCTCACACAAATTAAACTAAAACCTCAAAAATCTAAATAAGAGGGGGATAAATTCACTATTGCAAGTATAAACAACAAAGAAAAGAAAAGAGTAGACACAAAGAGACAGACAAATGGATATAGCCTCTCTAGTACAGTTCCAACTTTACTTTCTTCTTTGTGTACATAAAAAGACAGTATCCAGTAATAATAAATATTGATAGTCAAATAAATCAGGTAAATACACTAAAAATATTTTATGATCTTCATCAGTGAAAAAAGCAAAGGAATATATAAGCAGTTAAAAAATTTAGTCCAACTCTCTTGATTAAATCTTGGATCTTTATTTTTGTTTCAAAGATAGTCATTTATGATCACAGGACAAACTTTTACCCCAAGATTATATTTAGGGATTTGTATTGATTAATACAATAAAATGCATTAACTAGTAAGTTGTAAAAGAAGGTAAAAACTGCTAAGAATGTAAGAGAGGTCATGTTCTTTATGATAATATTGTTTTCTTTTAACAATATAGAAGAAAAATCAACTTATAGTATTGACTGAGAAATTCCACAAATTCAATCTCTATATAAAATGACTTAACAGTATTTTTTATGTTTCATGACATTCAATTCTTGAATATAGCATCTAAATGAACAGGTAATCCAGATAAAGGTATTTAACAACAATCTGTTATCATGACTTTCAAGAAAAAGCATTTTTATACACTAAAAGTAAAAGTATTATGACATTTGAAAATTTTGCTTGCTAAATGAAAATTTCTTACTTCCATCTTCATAGAAAAAGATTTATAAAATTTGATTTCATTTCTTGTAAAGTACAGAAAAAGGTTTTGAAGCCAGAACAATTAAAATTTTATTGCTTCTATTTGTTCTCTCACATGAAAGGTGTAAGTGAATATTTGAAAAAGAAAAGATTTTTTTCATGGTGAGAATATTAGTCATATCTTAGTAATTTTATTTTTTAGGGGAGTAACTTATTCTGATCATCTGCTCTCAAAGTATTTTTAAAATGTTTTCACAGTTGATATAAATGATTCTTTTCATATTCTCTCCAAGTAGAATGGCTCATATTTAGAAGTTTTGTAGATATTTAACTTTCTCGTGTTGTTTAGGGTTTAAATTTACTGATATTCAAATAAATCATGATAAAATTACAACATCCTGAATGTGTATCACAATCTATCCAAGATTAAACATACAGGTAAGATAACAGAATATTATTATTACCTGTACATATTGTCAAATATCATTCTATCATGTACTATTTCCCGAATTTTTTAAAGAGCTATATTGTTTACAAACTATAAAATAATTTTTTTTAAATTCCGTTGCTTCCTCAGTTAAAGTGTCAACCATTCGCTGTCAGCATTGTAGCAAAAATTCTGTTTCAAATATTACACATGTATCCGTTGCAATTTTGAATCTGTATTTCATGACATCTTACTTAACATAGACCATTTTGATTTGTTGATTATCAACATAACTTGACTGGCTACTTTACATTTCTATATTTTCCTTATATTTTATTTTTTCTCTCTTCTTCCTTTTCTCTGTAGAAGAGACTATATATATCTTGTGTCTTTCTTTTTTGCTCTCCTTATTTTCTTTCTTCTTTTTTTCGTGGGAAAAAGGTTGTTTGTAAGTAAATATTAAAAATTGTAATAATCCTCATTTACTACCGTCTGATGAAATGTGATGATATGCATCAAAACATGATTGCATTTATGTAGCGGTTTTACACATGTTCTAATGTAATATCCTATAATAAAGAATTATTGCTCTATTATTGTATTGAGCTCTATTTTTAAATTAATGTTGTGAACTTTGGAATTTATATTTGATTTGTTCTCATTCCATTTTTGTGTGTATATATATATATATATATATATATATATATATATATATATATATTTTTTTCACTGATACTAATTCTGATGAATCTGCCATTCATGTTTACAACAATGTTTGCAGGTAAAATTTGTCTTTTTTTAATTTTGTACTTAAGAAACAATGTAACTATCACTATGGTAATTTTTTAATTAGTAAATTTATGTTCATTAGTATTGTATAAAAAAACTTGTAGGAAGTTTGTATTTTGTTTTTACTTTAAAAACATTGTTTTTTATATTCCTTGACTGTAATTAAACATGTATGACAAATAATGATCAAAACATTCTCCACAAAAATTGATGGTTGCACAACACTTTGATATAATTTTTTTTGTCCAAACAGAAGTTAAAATTGAATAAGTAATACTTGTCCCAGTTTACCTCATCATCAGCCTGTGCCAACCGAGAAACAGCATATTTGCGTACAGCAGGGTGTGTGAAAGCAGGAGTGAGAAGTTCTAATGCATCTTCCACATCCATAGGACTCCATTTTAAAAGCAACTCTAAAGCCTGTTTTACTTCTTGGGGAAGACTCCAATTAACACACTTCAGAAATTTAGTTAAAGCCTGTAAAATGATACAAAAAAAGAAATTTCTGTTTCCATTTCAGAGAGTAACATAAAGCTCTTGTTAGAAATAGAATTACATATACCAGTAGATTATTCAGGATAACAATTTTCTTCTTAATTTATATAAAAATACAACTTGGTATTAAGTAAAGTTAATTTAATCAGTTTTGAAATTTTCAAAGCTGAGAGAAAGAAATTACATGATTCAACAAATTAACAAAGCAAATTTGCTTTGTTCATCTGAAAACTTTTAATTTTACAAAATTCAAATTAAGTAACTAAATGTAAAAATTAATATGGTCACTTATGATTAAGAATTTATGAATCTGTTTAAATAAAATGGAGTGAATTTATTCAGAAAAGCAAATGCACACAAAATTGTCAAATATACATAAATTTCATGAGAGAAAAGTGTAATATTGGAAAGTCACAATTTCAACAGTAAATTGATTTTCTTTTGATAACAATGTATGAATTCCTGAAATCTCAGCAGAAACAATGAATGAACCAAGTAACTACCTTCAAAATTAACTTTTATACAACAATCCAAGTTTCAAATTATTCTTGGTTTTTCACAAAACTACATTGATTTTATTTATAATGAACTTAAAAAAAGTACAAAATCTTTTTATATAAAAGAAATAAAGGAATGTGAACGGAAAAAAAATTGCCTTTATTAGGTATTTGATACATTCATAGGCATAAAAAAAAAATCCCAATGTGTTACATTAGGTAATCAATAATTTTGGTGATTCAGTATGGATGAACATTTAAAACAGTCAAACAATTGTAAATATGCCATTCAACAGATAAAGAGAATACAAAATAAAAATAGCAAAAAATAGAATGTAATCATTGAATTGACAATTTTTTATATTAATGAGCAAAAATATTACTTCTGAATTCCAACAGTTAATTTAACAAGACTATTCAATGCATAAGATCATTATTTTCATTGAATTTAATTTCAATGTAACATCACTAAAATTCACTTTGTTTCTAAAACATTAATAAAAGTATGGATCAATTTAAATCTATTTTGATAAAGTCCAGTTCTCAAGCTAATATTGAATTCATGAGTTTCTAACTAAATAAAAATAAGAACATAAAAACTATAATCATTTAGAATTTTGAATTAAATCAATAGCTAAATCCAATTTACTGATAAACCCTCTTCACTCAATTACAAGACTGGTTTTACAAATATTATTTCTACCAAATTTGTTTTATGTATAAACTTGATAAAGCAAATAATTTATTTTATTAACAGAATTACAACTGAATTCTCATTAGAATAAAGTTAATAAATGTTTTATTAAATTCTTTTTCAGATGTATTTTTTCCTCTTCTCAAATAAGCAGAATAAACAGGAATCTGGCAATTAAAATTTTTATTACTAGATTAACTTTGAGTAATTGTTATACTATGGATTCAAATCCTTAGTTGTCAAATGTTTTGACACTTGTACATTGAATAATGCACTTAGAATTTCATTTGTTTAAATTCTTAAAACCATTACAAATAGAACAAGTAGTATATAAAAATAAAAAAGTTCTAACATACCTTTTTCTGATTTGTTAAATAAAAACGAAACTTCCAAACTAAATCTTGTTCTTCAGAAGTTAATGCTTTTGTTGATGGATAGCTACAAATTGCCTAAAATAAATATAAGAATAAATAAATAATCACAATATTTTTATTGTTTTTAAAAAAATATAAAATTTCTTAGAATCTTATTCTCAAATCACTTTGATGGTTCATTATTTGACAATATTACAAAAGTCGATTATTTTGTGGTATGAATATAATAAACTATAAATCAGATAATTCACAAGCATAGAATTTGTTATGAACAATTCTGTTAGAAGATACATCATTAAAAATACCAAAAGGATAGATGGAATATTAGAAATTTTCTTAAATTTTGACATATCATTCACCATTCTTATCTTTGTTTTCATTACAATATTATGTAATGAATGTAAATCCAATGTTTATCATATATATGTTGCATTCAGTAAACTTAAGTTTTGAACAAGACTCTTTATGAACATTGGAATTTGTTTTGTAATTTGTAACTGCTAAGTCATTTGATATTTTAGTGTACTACAAATAGAAAGATAAGGATTCAAGTAAACCAATCAACATCTTTAATTTTCATATTGCAGAATACTTGACTTAAAGTGTTTTGAAAAGTTTTGTTGATTTTGTTTAGCAACATATCAACACCTCTATAGGTTATTTAATTCCAAAATCTAAATATTTTGAACATTTCTATGGCTTTAAATATATTTTGAACACTACAGATAAAATGAATTGTTGGTAATTTTTACTATCATAGTGTTTTGTTTTTGAGTTCCCTATTTGTCCATAGCTGGGACTGTAACAGGTGCTACCACCCTGGGAACAACAACAAATCTTAATAACACTGAAAAAAAAAATAAATAAATAAAATAAAGTTATCCACAAATTCGGTATTGCTGGAAAAGTAAGTTTTATTAACTTTTTGTGGTTAGATTAGATTTTATTGTAGTTTAAACTGATCTGACCATATATAACAATCTAATTACAGTATTTCTTAACCTAAAAGAAAGCTATTTTATTTTGCTCATAAATTTGCTTTTAATAATCTTTATAAATCTATTAATTTCCTAAGAGTAGGTAAAAAATTAAATTTGGCAGAAATGCTTAAAATGAGTCGACTTGAAGTGAGCAATGTTTTCGCAGGTCAAAATTGTTTTTATCTATTGTTATGCCATGACAGTTTTAATAAGAAGGATAGTATATATATATATATATATATATATATATATATATATATATATATATATATATACTAAGTGTTAGCCACAAGTATGGGTCAGCCATTGAAGACTGAATTCACTACAGTAATGGTCTTAAAGACAAACTTGCACCAAGCCTGATTTTCAATTGTTTTTCAAGGGAACTTTAAATATTTACAAAAATGGTTTTGCCTACAAAAGAATTATGTCACTTCCATTCATTCAGTTTCCCTCCACACTAAAAATCTGATAACTTTAAACAAGGTACATAACACAAAGATTTACCTCATTCCTGCCCATCTCCTCATTTGAGGAGATTGGGGAGAAAGAGGTAAATCATTTATTTATTATTTTATATACAAACACATATCTATTGTAATATTTCATTTGCAAAATTGATAAAAATTTATACCCATTATTTATTTTTAACACAATTATTTTTCCTGTAAAATAATTCATGTTAATAATTTCTGAGATGAAATATCCAATGAATTAGCATCCTCATCTTTGTTGGTTTTATCATATTTGACCAATATCCTCTTGGCCATCAAGCAAGAGAAGTCTTTATTTAATTTATGGTAATCTATTTCTGGCTATCATATTCAGCATTTTTCATAGAGATTTTTTATTTAAACACTCAATTTCTTCCTCTTTATGACATTGCCACTCTCATAACTTCCAGGGAATAAGACAAACTAAGGCAGTGGCGGTTCAGGATTTCCAAAGTCAACAGTCAAGTAAATCTGTTCTATGTAAAGAATAATGAAAGATGCTCCCATTCATTTCATATAAATGGTGAACATAGACAAGACCGTGCCAGTGGGTTAAAATAAATTAGAATTTGACCAATTTTTGAAAATGGTGAAATTCTGTATATAGACGAGACATTCTTTCAGTTAGGATCTGATACTTGATGGATTATGTGACTGGTAAACAGGTATGTGGTATACTTAAGAAAAGTCATCTTAAGAACAAAACAGTGAAAGCCATCCAGTAGAAGCATAGATTTGAGAAGGAAAAAAAAAAAACAAAGTTATTATTCCTTACATCAGAATTATAATGGAGAAAATTTAAAGGATCTGCATGATGTTAAGAGAGCAGCATCACAGTCATTTCTACCATAAGTAAATTATTATCAACATCTGCATATACAGCATTCTATGCAGCTGCAAAAGGAAAAAGAAAAATGCACCAATCCTGATGGAATGATTAAGTAGAAATCAAAACTGGAAACTAGAGACATTGAAATAATAATTCCAAATGTTATGTTTGAAAGCCAAGCATACAATAACCTCTAGTTAGCAAAAATATGTGGTTGAAAAAATTTCAAATTCCACTGTCAGTTTTGTTCAACAAAAGTCATTAATACACTGGCACCATAGACAATAACTAGCAGTAGTTAAGTTAAAAAAAATCCCAAAGTAGTACAAAAAACAAAGTACACCATGCCTACCAGAACAAAATGTAAGTTTTTTTTAATTTCAAATTTTCCTGAAGATCAGCAAATTGATTACATTGAGCAAAATATTGTCAGAAAAACAACAAAATGTTAACTTAAAAAAGCATACTAGATATTCATATATGATATGTAAAAGTTAGATATGTTTAAATTGAGTGCTATATTAGGGAAACGTTTTGAACTATTTTATGTTCATACCTAAAAATATCTCAACAGAATAGATAAGGAAATATATTTCTAATAACAGCTCCCAGAGTTAATATTTAGACAGTTAAAGCAGTTGTGAGAAAATTCAAGTGACTAAAATAATTTTTTTTCTTTGGACTTTAACAATAAAATCAACAGCAGTTTTTTAATTGCAGTTCTTATAATTTATTTTGGTCAAGACATAAATTTATTTATAATTTAACCCTACACAATGGAATTCTTTCTATTTTCTTTATATATATGAGAGAAGACTGTTTTCTTAAATATTGTTACTGTATATTGTTGCGATGAGGTGAGGGGTAACCCACTAATCTGCATCAGAGACCCAAAAAAGCTTGACAGCATTCAACAATGTTAAATATAGAAAGGTCTAGTTTTATGTGAGAAAAACCAAGACTACATTTAGAGATCATAGAAATGAAATGTGAAAATAGAACCAAAAAGTTAATTAGTTTCAAGAAATTAGAAGAATTTTTAAGGAATTGACCCAAAATACTGGTGATAACTCAGTATAACTGAGTATGGCTTTGTACCTATCCACTACATTTGTCAAGTTAGTAATAAATACTAATAAATTACTTTCTTGACTGAAATCAAAATTTATCTACAAAAACTCTTGGATATAAAGGAAATGAGCTGACTTTGGATATGAGCAGAGGTGTTGAAATGAACAAATGCTAGTGAAGGAATGGGGGTGGGGATGTGAAATGCAAGTGGAACATAAACTGAATCAGTTTGTAGTAGTAAGCTAAAGTTTCTCTCATGTCACTATGAAGCATTAGAATAAGAGAAAGGAAGACAATAATTTAAAACTCAACTAGAATAAACTACATCTTATTTATATTTTATTCAAAGATATTCTGGTCTTATCAATATTCCAATGAATCTCAAGAAGTTCTCCACTTTAGTTTTGCATGAACAATGGTTGGCTTACAACATCTGAACCCTGAGCTTGGGACAACTTCTAATAACATCACTGGATTAGCAACCAGAAACATAAGCCCATCTGTCAACTATTGTGCTATATTTGGTGTCATACCAAAGGATTCTGACCATGCAGTTACCATAAAAAGATACACAGCATATGTTTACATTTGGTGAACACGAGCAGGATATCGACTGTCTAAGAGATCCCTAATCTCAGCCATTATATCAATCTTCAGATCAAACTCATCCTAAAAGCTCAGTATTGAGTTATAGGGTCACATCTGGTTTTTGTGAATGGTATTGTCAAAGCTGTAACTGAACACAAAGCAAAAAATAAAGATTATAGCAACTTCTATATAGCTATTCAGCTAAATGGTTAATTAGCAACCTTTGTCATCTCACTAGAAAATGGGCAAATGACTCTTGCAGTTGGGTTCATTTCAATAATAGTTAGCAATTAACTTTTCTTTATAATATTTATGTTTTTATGGCTCACCTTAAAACAGTCAAGAGATCATAACAAAATGGTGGACAAGCCAGATGTTGAATACAAATAAAATCAACAATGTTTAAATAGCATGAAATATTGACAGCAAACCCAAACATACAAAGAAATGAAATTTATCAGCTTGTAAGACACTGAATAAAAGGAGTGTTAACTTAGGCCTTTATACATGTTAATTATAATCAATTTTACCAAATATATGGTATATCTTCAATATATTGATGACATATATCATTAAAAAAAAAACATGACAAAACAAAAATCTTTAAAGAAACCTTTGAAGAAATCTACTCTACACTTTTATGTACTTAATATAATATAATCTTTTTCCTTAATATTTTACTAGACTCATATTGTCACAATTTTATTACTTCACTATAGAAGAAACCCAAACAAAAAGAGGCTTGTTTTCTTAAGTAAATATGTCACAGATTAAAAAAAAAAAGTTGTTATAAAGAACATGATCAACTGAACTAATCTAATTTCTTTTTATTCTATAACACTTAGCAACAATATCCTAATCTAATGGGATATACACAATTTTATACATAATCTTTTTAATTGAAAGTTTCTCAAATTTTTTTCTTTCTAATGGTACAGGAGTTATGAAAGTCAACTTTTATCTAAAGTATTAATTCCCATCCTCGCCTTTGTATATGTCATCTTGAAACTTTTCTTTTATTGATCAGATTTTATATACAAAGCTGGGTCAATACATCAGCAGCTTGACAGTTATTTGCTGAATTTTGATCTGAAATTTTCACTTTATAATATTCAATCTATGTGATTAATATGTGAATATTAATCACATCTTCTTCCTTGTCATTGCACTTAATTAAGTGCAATGACAAGGAAGAAGATTATGTTGAAAAATAATTATTTGTTGTATAAAATAAATGCTTTTATTCATCAAGCTGTGGACTTATTGATGTATGAACATCCTGTGTATATAAGTTACTTTTTAATCAATAAGAAATGTTGGTAGAGGAGAGGCTGAACAAGCAAATAAAATCAAAAGGTCGAATCTTATTTCTATAGTGACAATATGAAATATGAAAAAAAAACTAGTTATACTGGTTTATATTATTTAAAATATCAATAAATATTGTATGCATATCATAATATATAAATTTAGTACTAATGCTAACATAAATTTCTAAGAAAATGAAAGATTTTGAGTAACTTTTTCAGAAATTGAAAATAAATCTTAACACCTTTCTAGCTTCATTGCAGAAGATGACATTTCACAAATTCTGTTTTATTTTGTAGATTTTTAACAACTTATGAAAAGGTATGACAAAATTCAAAAACTAAACTTTAGCAATTTAATTTTATGGATAATCTAAAACTTCAAAAGCAATGATGAAATACTTCACTAATTCTATTTCTTTTTCTCTTTAAAAGTTCAGAATCTTTCAAATGAAAAGTAATGTGGTTATATCTAATACTAATAGCTATATAATATTGTATTCTCAAACAAATAACATACTTCCATAAACAAAGGTAAAGATAAACTCTTTGCAATTTTATATAAAATAAAATAAGATTAAAAAATCTTTTTAAAAACTCCATAAAAAAAGAATAATTTGGGCTAATAAGGTCAATTTTGATATTTTCTTTTAATCAAAATAATACAAAAATAAAAAAATGTTTCGAGTAATATTTGCAAAAAATCTATAAAAAAATAAAAATAACAGAAGAACAATTATATGCCATTTTAGGTTTTAGGCAAATAATACCTTATAAATACACACTATATAAAAGTCACTAAATTTTATCTATTCAATACATTATCATTAAAATAGATTAGGTACATTGTTTTATCTAAAAGGACAAACTTTTAAGCATGACAAAATATAAAATATACTAATGAAAATACTATATTAAAAGTTGAATTTATGAACAGCTTTTATCATTCTGAACAATGGTACTAAAGAAAATGTGAAAGAGAAAATGGCCTTAATTAATCTAAACATATTTATTCAACAAATTTTTATCTATTTGTAACAAATCATTTTGGAATCCACTTGACAAACTGTTCTTAATGTAAATACTTACATTCAACTGGTCCCTGGTCTTGGCATCTGGCTTCATATCACGGTCAGTTGGCCCTCTTCTTAGACTCCTGACCAACTTATGGTGTTTACTTTCCACAACGTTTTCCTGAAAAAGCATGAGCACTTAAATGACTTAAATAGCAGGCAACAGTTTAACAAACATGAACTTGGCAGTCTATACAACAAACTGATGATAAGTCTCAAATATTTAGCTGCCATACAAAGACCTTGCTTCTAATAGAGACTGGCAGAAAGCCCATATTTGTCACTTTCATAATAGCTAAATGGTAAGCAGCAGTGACAAAGAAAACAGAAATTAGAATAAACATTAGAAATAACATTATAGTAAAAAAATGTTGAAAAATAAAGCTTTTTTTTTGTTTGAACCAAACAAGCCATTATGTTCTATTGTTAAATATAAAAAGAAATTTATAAAAAAAGTTTGTATGAAGCTCTTAAATAGGACTACTGAATGAAAAGAGACAAACTGACAGAGACACACATAAAGAAAGAAAGATTTATAAATTGCTTCTAAAAATATGTTACATTTTGGTAAAATATATACATATATTATAAACAGCTTAATATAAAAATATAAGATTTTTGATATATGGGAAACTACAATGCTCTCTTAAAAGTTTCATCATTTTCAAAAGGATAAATTAAGGAATTAAAATATTATCTTCCTTAATTATATGAAGTCAAATTTATTGTTTATTTTTTTTTAACCCAAAATCAATTTTGATGATTTAAATGTTTAAATTTTAATCAATTTGAATAAACTTCAGATGCATCATGAATTATTAAAATTAAAAGAGAATTTTTTTCATGTAAAAATCTACAATTTTTAAAATAAATTGTTTTATTTTCTTGTCTAATTTCAAAAGGTTAAGCAATTGACTGCAGAATGTGATTGAGATTTTTTTCCCTTGCTATAAACAAAAATCATTAGAACAAACTATAAGTAAGGCCACTAATTCAATTCATATTTTAAGAATTTATGACAAAAATTAATTTTATTTTCATATGGAATTTTTTCGATAAAGAAAATATATTTCTCATTTTAAAAATAGAAAAAATAAACATCAATGATTTTCTTAAGAATTTTAGATTATATAAAATAAATCCAATCATTTGGGGTTCATAATAAAAAGGATTTATTTTTTTGTAAATGTATTGGCAATTCTACAAAAACTATCAGTGTTTAGTTGTATGGTAGGTGCTAATGATAAAATTACAATTCCAACAATAAAAAGAGTGAGGCTGTTTGCTATTAGTTACTAGTAGACTTCAAAAGCAAAGAAATAGTAGCTCCTGTGACCATCAAAAATGTTTACTAGTGAAGAAATGAATTTCAAAGCAGCTTTTAAGAAAAACCTTCTCTTCTACTTAACATCTTGTAATAAATTGTATTTCTGGATCACGGAAAAATATGACAAATGGTTTCTTTTTAACATTTTATTTGTAGAATTGGTGTGAAAACTTGTGTAACCTGTTATTTTTTCTTTATTGACTTTTACTGAAGGATTTGATAAATCAGTTATTTTGGACATATTTTTATGTCCATATATTACATACAAGACAGAAAGACTTAACTGCCTTTTTAATTTTCTTCCCATGGGAGAGTATTAATATAGAACAAATTTACAAATTCCATTGTGTACTAGAAATATATATATATATATATATATATATATATATATATATATTCTAATTGTAGATTTCACTTCAGACTATGTAAGCCCAGAATACCTATATGAAAATGAGAAATACATTGTAAAAATGTTTAGACTTCTTCATAACCCACAATTTCATCCTCAACACTAGAAAACAAGTATACAAAGTACATAAGTCCAAAAAAAAAAAAAAAAAAAAAAAAAAAAGCACCACCACCAATGACAGATTCCAAAAACAAAAAAAAACAAAAAATTCATAATCCTACTCTCCAACACTATCAACAAAATTAGAAAATAAATTAGTTATCTCCAATACTAAGTTCTTTACCACCATCTCCAAAACAGCTGGAGATATATTTAGGAAGAAAAATATATCCAACACTACAGTAGATGCCGGGATTTAGAAGATTAGAAGACCTCACTATAAAACGTATGTCAATGATTTGATTCAAACAGGAAAAAAAGAAGCAAGATTCTGCAACCATAGAGTTTTCATTCTGCGTTGCATGAAAGATTGCATTATTCAGGTGCATTGTACATTGTAGAGTTCGCTTAGTAGGAAACAGTTCAGAGCTTAAAGATTTTAAAAAAAAGTTCTTGGATGCTGTCTTCACAAAATCTGTCATCAGCTCACCAACATTTGAGCCCACACGAAAAAAGTTTGGAATTTACTTAAAGGAAAGCTTTCTGATGATGAACTAAAAGGAGTTGAAAATGCACACATGAAGTGGAAAAATTGGCAGTTTATTAAATCAAAAACAATTCAACTACAAAAATTTTCTAACTTTTTAAAAAAGCAAAAGGCAATACAGCAACAGAAATGATGAATTGCGTTTTGAACATATCAGATTAACAGTTATCAGAAACAGAAGTCCAAGTTCTCTCAAAGGGAATGAATTTTAATGTTTCATAAAAAAAAAAAAAAAACCCTCCTATTGAATTCTTACTTCAGATTGAAGTGGCTCTGCAACAAGTGGATCTGGAAAAGGCTGAAAATTCAAGATAACAAATTGTGAGGGTATTGCAAGAGAGAAAACCATTTAAGCCAAATATAACCAGCGAGCAGCAAAAGGCAATTAAAGATCTTTGTTCAGATGAATCCATTACAATATCAAAAGCAGATAAAGGCAATACGACAGTTGTGATGAACAAACCGGATTATATAGTTAAAATGGAAAGGCATCTTAAAGATGGACCATATAAGAGAAATTAACAAGAGATCGTCAACTATCATGAATGTGATGAAAAAGAACTGTTGCATTGAGTTAATGAAGCTGAAAAGGGAAAATAGACTGGGCGAATTGACATGGTTCATTATAAAACCGAAAAAACACTAAGTGCCCAAGGATGTATGAAAAAAATCAAAATCCATAAAGTTTCCCAATCCATCCAATTGTAGATTTCATAGATTCACCGACTTATAATTTGGCCAAATTTCTATCGAACTTACTTAAACCACTATATGGCCAGACAATTCATCATGTATCAAAAACTGAAACATATGAAAGCTGAAGAAGTTAAGTTGATAGACCTCTGTCTTGATAACACCTATTTTACTTTCAACAAAGTTTTGTAGACAGACAGACAATGGGACTTCCCATGAGTCCACTAATTTCCCCTATCCTAGCAAATCTTTTTATGGAAGATTTTGAATCTACAGCTTTGTGTAATTATGATAACCCCATCAAAATATGGTGAAGGTATGTTGACAACACTTTTGTAATGAAACATCAACATGTGGATTCCTTCTTACAATTCCTCAATAATCAGAATGATCATATCAAATTCACAATGGAATTGGACATGACATGAGTCTGCCATTTTTAGATTGCTTGGTTATGAGAAATGAAAGGGGGAGAATTAAAAAAATGACTGTTTCTAGAAAACCCACATCTATAGATCGATATTTGTATTTCAATTCGTGTCACAACCTTAGTACAGAAAAAGGAATTACAATAGGATTCTTTAAAAGAGCAGAGAAAATTTGTTCAGATCCATTGGATAAAAAAACTTGAGCAGCAGAATATAATAGATACTCTTCAAAAGAATGGATATCCTAAAAGATTACTGTACCAACAACAAGACAGAATAAACAACAATGCCATTAAGAAAAATATAGACTCTAGTTCTGAAAAAGTTTTAATGGTGAACATACCGTATGAAGAAAACACATCAGAAGCTCTCAAACGAATTTTAAAACAGATAGATATACAAGCTGTATTCTCCTCTTTCAACACAATAGGAAGGACGCTAATTAGATTAAAAGATGAAAGAGCAGTAATGGCAATCTGATCTACAAAATTAATTGCATGAACTGCTCAACAAGTTATATGGACATGACTTTAAAGATCATTGAAAGAACAAAATAAAATTGACGAAACCAAAAGCATTTCAATCAAAGAAGAGTAGCTGAACAAATGGTAATAGCAACTACAAAAAATGCCTGCAATAGGATAGATGCAGCACAATTCCATCCTGTTTGGACATCTCTGCTCCAAAGAAAAATATGATTATGATATGTCCCCCCCCCAAAAAAATGGCAATTTATAGAGTAAATAAAATTAAAAAAAATCTTTTTTTTTTTAATGCCTCAACTTGCTATTACGTTGTAAACATCATCAACTCAGTTTGTTTTCCTTGATTTAAATTATTAAGCATTTCAAACTTCTTTGCACTGTTTTTACTCAAATTAAGGAGTGACTAAGACTGGCAACTGCTAGTCGAAATATTTCCATAAAAATAAATCATTCGTTGGAACTACAAGTTTTTTCTGCAACTACCAATGGAGACAAGCATCCTAACTAAGATTAATAATTCTTTACTCCTTATGTATATTTAAATTATTCAATTTGTTATGATTAAAACTGTTTTTTTATTATCAACACAGTTTTTTGGCTTGTGTTTTGCAATTGGTTTTCTGCAAATAAGTTACCATGGTTGCAAGGATTACCAAACCTGAATTCTCTGCAGAATCACAATGACCACTGGTAGAAATACCATTTATCACTATCAAATGTCTAGAAAGTTCAGATTGGTATAGACCTTTGAAAATACTATCAAGATTCTTTTTACAAAAATTTTCAGAATGATGAAGAAATAAATGATAATGAACACACTCAACTTGCAAAGAAGCTGAAATTATTTGAAAATGACAATGTAATTGATGTTGTTGTTTTGCTTGATGATACATATAAAGATATTAACAGATGCTAAAAAATACAGCCTTCCAGACTGTTGGAAAAAAGAAATACATTTAAATAAAAAAGAAACTAATTGGTAAAAACAGAAAACTAGGATGTGTATGCAGCAAGTGTCATCATCTTCAACTTGAATGAACACAAGGCATTTATTTGTCTAGTGAGTAGTGCAGTATTAAGATAGTATGGGAGGGTGAGGGGTGACAAACAAAAACAGTTAATGAATTAAAAAA